AATGCAATTTTGTCCTCCAAAGTTAAAGCCGAACGAAAAAATCTGCCGGGCATCGCATACATCCTAAAGGCTCCATTCTTCTATTCAATGTTATCAGACCAGCTGCCTCTAAATATGGGATGATTGATAGGTCTCTAATAGACACACACTGCTAAGGCATGTACATATGATTAGATGGTTAGGATTCGGAAATAAAACAAAGAAAACCACCCCCTCCACCATTATGCCCACCGGTATTATGTTGGCTGCCCTATTTTTTCTTTCTTTCAAGTTTTCAAGCTGCAGCTAAGATTTCAAGGCTGCAAGCAATTTGCCTGAATCGGTAAATAACAGGAATAGACCCTCTTTTTCCCAGACTACACTTCCAATACAATTTACTTCAGAGGAAACATGGGCAAAATGTGTCCCTCTGGGTTTATAATATTTCTGCACTGCACTATTTCAGGAGAATGGGAAAAAATGTAGAGAATTTTTTTTTTTTTTTTTTTTTTAAAGAAGCAGCATTTTGCTGGCTGGATATTACCAGAAGCTAGAGACTCCGGGTTTATCTGTTCAAGTAGTCCAGCCACAAATGAGAACCAGGTATTTCTATGATTAATCAAGGTGGTTGTTAAGAGAGTCACATCCAACTTTATGACCTTTAAGAGAATCGCTGCCATTAAGCGAATCATGCAGGTCTTAGCGGGTCCAGCTTCCCCACTGAACTTAGCTTGCTGGATGCCATTTAGGAAGGACCTAAATGGCAGTCCTGTGGCCTCAGGACACTACAACCCGTTGTAAACATATAAAGAACGGCTGCTGGAATTGGGTATGTCTAGTTTAACGAAGAGAAGGACGAGGGGGGGACATGATAGCAGTGTTCCAGTATCTCAGGGGCTGCCCCAAAGAAGAGGGAGTCAAGCTATTCTCCAAAGCACCTGAAGGCAGGACAAGAAGCAACGGATGGAAACTCATCAAGCAGAGAAGCAACCTAGAACTAAGAAGAAACTTCCTGACAGAACAATTAACCAGTGGAACAACCTGCCTCCAGAAGCTGTGAGTGCTCCAACACTGGAAGTTTTTAAGAAGAGACTGGGCAGCCATTTGTCTGAGTCGCTGATCCACCAACACTATTTCTTCATGCTAGCTGAAGAACATGAGATCCATCATCAGACAACCCTGGTGGGCCACGCTGAGAAGAAAAGACCAAGAGAAATATTTTTCAGTCCCAGTTCTGAGGTTTACAAAACCAGAATGATTCCATTCCTGGGATGGTTGGGATGACTAGTACGAAGTTTGACTGGTTGAAAAGTTTTAAAAGAGGGCATTTTCTCTAGGTGTAGATTCCAACTGGATTTATTTCACTCTTTTGCAAAGGCAACACTGAGGACATTAGAACGAAAAACAAACAAACAGCCTGGAAAAAGAACAGCTTGGTTGTTGACTCAAGACAAAAAGATTCTCCACTTTTATAAATGAATGAATTTTCCGGGCCAAGATAGAGATCAAGGAGACGGTTCTTTCTTTGGCCTTTTTTTCTTGTTTTGTTTTTTTGCTTCCTCCCCCCCCTTCCCAGAGTTGGGCAGGAAAAGCATTTAAATATTTTAAGCACTGAGATGTTGATGTTTTGCAGGCTGCTCTGGTGAGCCTCTAATTCAAAAGGCAAGCTATGCATTTCCATTCATAAATAATAAGAGACGGTTGACCCTCAGCAAGGAGAAGAAATGGACTTCTACAATCCTGTTGTTATTAATGTTACTGAAGGAAGAGGGCAGCCTTGGATGAACAATCACATCTGAGGTGCCTTTGAACCCCAAAACAACTAAAAAAAAAATCAACCAGCCATAAATGGAAAGAGGCAACTCAGTCCTTGTGTCAAGACTTCAAGTTGGACTCAACTGCTGAGAAGGTCACAGATACGTCCGAGTGATTTTTCTTGCTAATATTAAGAAATGATTTTCAATCTTCTAGTTAGTTTACAGCCCAGAGATATCCTAGGGATCCATCCAGGAATTAAGAATATCCAACTTTGATTTCCTTTCCAAGCTCAGTTAAGGACTATTGGATGCTGCCTTATGGGGTACGTAGACAACTCTCATTGTCTGTCTTTAATAGGAGCGCAGATAGTTCAACCATGTTTGAATAAACCACAGCTGGCTGAGTTCAGACAACATCAAAAGTGTTGTTTACAAGTCACAAAGGCTGGATTCACACAGCACAGCGATCCCGGCTCTAACTGAACACAACATATCTCCACATTGACCTCCAGAGGCTCACGTGGTATTTTTAAGAAGTCGTATTTGTTGATTATACCTTCAGATCAAGAATGCTGATGTTTTTATGGAACTCTTGGGAGAAAATAAGAAAAGTCATAAAAAGACTGGTTTTTTTTTTTTTTCCTCTCTCCCACAACGTCCCTTTCATCTTGGAAGGTGACGTCAGCAAGATCCTGTCGTAAGAACCATGGTCATTTAATGAGATGCTTGTAATTTTAGAACGGATGGGGTGGAGATTATACAACCACAATGATCGTAAGAGAGACCTGGGATGGGCTAAAAAGAAATACTTTGGTAAGTTTTTTTTAATTATTCCTGCTTTTGGGATGCAAGGTTTAGCAAAAAGACCAGAATGTTTACCTTTTCTAGGAAATAAACGCCTTGCCTGGTCTACAATAGCTCTATCTTTGCAGAGGAGGGAGGGGCAAGCTATTTTTTTCCTTTTCTTCCCGGGGTTCATCTTCCTTTTTTCCTTCCCCTATTAGTCAATTTCATTCGTCAATTTCAGCGGTCAATTTCATCCATTGTCCTGCTTCCTATTTTATCCCACAATAATCCTGCCGGGATGCTTGGGTGATGGATCAGCCCAAAGTCAGCCAGTGAGCTCACATGGATGAAGGCAGGCTAATAAAATGAACTTCTCCTTGATTTCAGTCCAGTTCTTTTAACCTATCAAAACACACTAGCTTTTTCCCTTCTTTCCATGAATTCGCTTCGCCAGCTGCCTTAAAATAAAATCAACCACTCTAACAATTGTTTCCACATTCTTCCTGGATAATGTCCTATTCAACAATGCCAAATTTTCCTTGTCTTCCTAAGGTGGCACTTTCCCAATGACCAGATGATCGTGTCTATATTCCTTGGACAGCTCGGCTGAGGATGATGAGGTTTACAATCTGGAAGATACCAAGAGGGAGGGAGGGAGGGAGGGAGAGAGAGAGAGAGAGAGAGAAGGAGAGAGAAAGAAAGAGGGAGGAAGAGAGGGAGAAAGGAAGGAAGGGAGAGGGAGAGAGAAATATTTTCTCTCTTATATGTCAATGAAAAAGAGCTGATTATATTTTCAAATACTGTTTTTGGCAGAGCCACCTAATGCAAGATCAAGAAAGGGACAGAGCCTTTGATGGAGGCGAGGCCCATCAGCCACAACAGAGTCTTCTTTTTAATTTTGGGCAAGGGTGTGCTTGACTCTTTCAATATTTTTTAAAGTCAAAAGCAGAAAGACAAACAGAATGGGAGCAAACACCATTCAAGGTTAGCTTAATCTCAATCAAGGTCCACAATTGAGAGGTGGGGGTGAACCTAATGACCCCCACACACAACATTTTCAGATATATTTTTTTTTAAAAAAAAAGATTTGGGGACACATTGCCTGAAAGTAGATAGAGAATATTCTGAAATCCCCTCTCCTATTGCTTGCAAAGGGTGTGTATTGGGGGGGGGGGAGGTGTCAAACAATACAAAGCAATCTTCTCTCTTTCAATGGGGGGGGGGAACAAGAGCTCAGAATCCAGTCAGCTTTCTCCTGTATAAAGCAACCCCCTAGAATGATCCATCCAGGCAAAGCTTCTATTATATATATATATATATATATATATATATATATATATATATATATATATATATATATATATATATATAATCTTAAATGCAGCAAGGAGAGAAGGAAACTGTTTTCTTACCATCCTTCTTTTCTCTGGTTCTCAAAAGGGGCTTTTTTTAAGGGGGAGGGTGTCAGAATGAGAGGTAGAAAGAGGAACATTCCAATTTGATGGTCCAGTGGGAGAGTACTCAAAGCCAATTATTCTGCATCTGTGGTTTTTCAAGGCAGACTAGCCCACCCAGCACCAATGTCAGCCATTCAACATCAGCCACGCTTCATCCTTCAGAAGGAACATCTCCACGATGTGGGGAAGGAGAAGTGGGTGGGTGGGGGAGGGTTCCTGCTCCCACACTTGAGCTAAACTTGGCTTTAAGGCTAGGACCTGGCTCAGACATCCATCGAAAGCCAAAGATCATGATTTAGTGAATCCATTTCAGTGAGTTGTGGACTTCCCAAAGACATAACTAGGTGGCCAGATATGTTGAGGTTGGGTTCCTGCAGGGCCCTAAGGGGCCCTGACCATCGTGGTGTGGAGACTGGTACAAGGCAAACGGACACCCATTTGGGTTAACACTGTAAAACCTTGGCTGATCAACCACATGGCTTGACACACAACAGCCTCCATCTTGATGGGCAAGCCACAACTTTCTGGGTTCCCATCACACCTTAAAGTCCGCTTGACCAGCTGTCCCACTTCGCACCTTCAGCCTTGGCGAACAAAACCCCGATAAGGGGATCCTTGTTGCTCCCTGAGCTCAGAGCACCCCAAGGACCCCTCATTTCAACCCTGTGCTACAAATAATCTCCTTCATTAAACCCCTCCATAGCTCGCATTCACAAGTTACCCGATAGCTCGCATTCACAAGTTACCACCTGGTCAACAGTTCAGAACACCTGAGGACGAAGGGGCACCCTCAAGTCTGCTCTCCACCGCCCAGGATTCTCTCCTCTGGCTTACCAAGCCCTACAAACACCCCCATCCCCCCCCCCCGTCCCGAGGTTCAGCCGGTCGTGCGAACCCAAAACCTTTGCCCGTCTCGCAAAGCTGTATACAACCCCCCATCCTCCTCCTCCTCCTCCTCCCCTCTCTCCCCCAACCTTGTCTCTCTGCCTCCCCCCAACCCACCCCTCCCTTACTCACTCACCACTCGGGATTCTCCGCCGCCTTGGGGTTGAATCGGATGTCGCTGTTGACGTTGAACAGGAGGTCGGCCTCGTCCAGCGGCGGCACGGCCAGCTGGTAGAGCGGGTGGGCGAAGAGGGCGGCCAGGCGAGAGCCGGCGCCCGCGGGCCCCGCCACCCCCGCCGCCTCCTCTTCCTCTGCCTCCTCCCGGAAAGCCGGCAGCAACGGCGGCGAGTGGGGCTCGTTCTGCAAGCCGTCGCCTACTCTCCTTTTCCCTTTCGCGCGGAACGCGCCGCCCAGCTCCGGACCGGCGCTGAAGGCTCGAAGCGGCGACGGTGGCGGCGGCTGCTGCTGCTGCGGCTGCTGCTCGGCGTGGCCCGGCCCTTTCTCCCCGGAGCGCGAGCTGAGATTGGAGCTGGGCTCGCTGCTGAAATCCTGCAAGAGGCGCAGCGTGTGCTTGCTAGGCCAGCCCGCGGCTGCCGCGGCCGCCTCCGAGGCGCCGGCTTCGGGCCGGCCGGGTTCCTCCTGAGCTGCTGCTGCTGCTGCAGCCGCCGCCGCCGGCGGAGGCGGCTCCGGCTCCAGCGAAGACGGCGGCGGAGCCTCCTTGGGCCAGCTGCCACGCTCTTGGCCCGGCTGGGCGGCGGCGGCGGTGTGCGAGCAGGAGCAGCCCTGACTAGCGTCCGCCGCCCCGGCCTCGGCCCCCGCGGCTCGCTTCTCCAGCTTGGGCAACAGATCGACGAGGATGTGCAGAGTGCACGCCACCAGGAAGACCAGCAGGATGAGAACGCGGAATTTGCGCACCAGGATCAGCTTCATGGCTCCGGAGAAAATGGGCTGGGGGCAGTGGGGGGGGGTGTCCCAATGCAAGCTGGAAAAGAGACCGTGGGTGGGTGGGGAGGGTGAGGTCAATTCAGCAGCCTGGGCTCGGAGACCGGGAGAAGCAGGGTTGGGTGGGCTTTGCAAGCGCTCTCTCTCTCTCTCTCTCTCTCTCTCTCTCTCTCTCTCTCTCTCTCTTTTTTCCTTCCCCTCCTCTCTTCTTTTATTCACAATCCAGTCGTCTTCCTCTCCGGCTGCCGCGCTCCGTCCATCTCGCGAGAAAGGCCTGAATAATTTCCCCGGCCTCCTTCGGCCACCGCTGTCTTCCAAAGATCCTCGCGGCTTTGGTCCCCACAAAAACACAAAATACGAAGCGAAGCGAAGCGAAGCGAAGCGAAGGAAGGAAGGGGGTCGTGCCAGCCAAGCCAAGCCAGCCAGCCAGCGGTCAGCGAGGCGAGCCTTTCCAAACTGGACGATGCCGCTTCCAGGCTGGCCAACGCAGCATTTATTGCCTTTGGTCCTGGGGGGTCAAAAGCAAGCAAAAAGAAGAAGAAAGGGGGAAAAAGTCCTCGGAGCGCCCCAGGATGGGTGGTGGTGGTGGCGGTGGCTGTAATTCAGAGGGGGGGGGCGGGGGTGTCAAAGCAGCAGCTGCAGCAGTTCTGCGCCCCCAAAGCGCACCGTCTTCCGAAGCAGCAGCTTGGCAATCGGCCCCGGGCGCCCCCGATGCTCGCCAGCCGCTTTGCCGGAGCCTTCCTTGCCAAGCCAAGGGGTGCCGCAAGCCCATCCGCCGGCGCTTGACCCCCCCGAGAGGAAGGAGGCGGCCCCCTCCTGTGCCCTGGGACCGGCTCCCCGCCAAGCTTCTCCGGCCCGGTTTGGAGATCCTCACCTCCGGCGCGCCTCGGTCTCCAAACGCGGACCGGCCCGCCTGCTTCTCCAGCCCTTTCCGGAGGCTGCAGCTGCTGCTGCTGCTGCCGCCGCTGCGAAGGCTGGAGCGCAAGAGCAGCCGCTTGACAGCTAGGAAAGGGGGGGGGGAGAGGAGGAGGAGGAGGAGGAAGAGGGAGGGGGAGGAGCGGTGGAGAAGCAAAATTTCAACTCAACCCCCCACCTCTTGCCGGAAAATAAAATAAAATAAAATAAAAATAAAACTCAGCGCTCTGCGGTTCCCATCCCGGCCACTTCCCTGCTCTCTCTTTTATTCCCCCCTGAAACCTGCAAATGTTCGCGCGCTCCCCCCCCCCACTTCTAAGGGCAGCCCTGAGCCGCCGAGGGGACCCCTAACCCGAATGCAAAGAAGAAGAAAAAAGGAGGGGATGGACAAGGAAAGGAGCCCCCCCACCTCTCCTTTCCCCCTTGGAAAGGTGGTTCCTTGCAAGCTATATAGTCAAGCAGCCAGCTGGCTCTGGTCGGATTTGGCTGGAAGGTGGGCGGGGGGGGGGAGCGCAAGGTGGGGGCGCTGGTAAGTGCAGCGGGGCGGGCCTCCCCCCTGCCCCCCCTTGCCCGTTTGCAGCCCCGGTGAATGCGGCGGCTAGCGCGTTGGTAGGTAGGTAGGTAGGTAGACAGAGAGAGAGAGAGCCGCTCCTGCCTCGGGTGGGTGTTAAATAAGAAGGAGGCAACCGCTCGCCCACACGTCACAGATGAAGACATTGGCTGGAGAGTCAGAGGGAAAAACTCAGCCCGAAGCTGGCGCTGCCCCCCTCCCCATTTCACCTCAACCTTTCTCCCCCTCCCCTTCTCCACTCGCTTTCCTTTTCATTCGAAAGAAAAGAGAGCTGCTGGGTCCCCGAGGGTGGAGAAGAAGGGGCCAGAAAGCGCGCTCCCCCCAGCCCCCCAGCTCTGGGAATCAGCCGTTGGCGAGCTCGGGGAAAATAGAGGGCAGCAGGTGGGGGGGGGATTGTCTTTGCAATGTCTTTATCTGATAGCTTTTAAAGACTAAGCTAGAGAGGGACAGCTCCCCCTAGTGCAGAGGCCCCCCCAATCTTTTGGGCACCAGAAACCAGTTCCGTGCGGAAAGTTTTTTTCCGTGGACCGGAGGGTGCTGCGCTTGTTTGTCCGGACCAGTTGCTGGTGCACGGATCAGAGGTTGGGGATCCTCTCCCTAGTGTACAATGGGTTTTTCAGGGTTGGGTAGGAAGTGGAGCTCAACTTTCGGCCCCTCTCCCTTGCAGTTTTCCTTGTGAGGATACAGGAGCGAAGTGTGGTGCTGCTGGTGTCTTTCTCCGGCTTCCTAGTCTGCCCTCCAATGTGGGATTTCATAGTGGTCTCCTTTCCAAGTATTATCCAGGTCTCTGGTGCTTTGCCTGGAGAGATAAACCAGGGTTGGCCAAGTGCTGCCACCTGGTGGACAACATGTTTTTATATGTATGTCTATATATCAACAGTTGATGTAGATAGTGAGATGGGCAGCATACAAATTAAAGTGCCCATCCACTCACCTATTCATCCACCTGTCCATCTATCCATCCGTTCTGTATATTGTTCAACTCAATACAATTATACCTAATAATCTCCCTATTTATGACCCAGTAATTGCTTAGTTCGGGGTAGAGCCGGGACAACTGGATAGAGTTGAGCATTTACTGGCTGGATGCCCTTCCTGACGCCTAGTTGGAGTTCACAGCAGATTTTTTTTCTTTGCATCCTAGAGAGAAACATCTGCTGTTACCTAGGATTGAACTCTCAACCTTCCGAATGGGAGGCGAGAGTCTTTACCTCTAGGCCACCACGTAGCTAATAATTCCTCCTTATTTTCCCCACAACAACCCCTGCCAGGTGATTGGGCAATGATGAGACTGGCCCAAAGTCACCCACCACCTGGTTTTCATGCTTAAGGTGGAACTAGAACTCACAGCCACCTAGTTTCCACTCCAGCACCTTCACCACTCCACCAAACTGACTCTATATGCAGACGTCTTTTAAAGAAGAGTAATAATAACCCTGTCAATTTCACTAGACGCCCCCCTCCCCTCCAGAGAGGAGGAAGACCAAAGCAATTGTGTCATCCAAGGCCACCGGAGTGGGAATAGAGATGTTGTGGATAAATCACTTTCTGACATCACACCCACATTAGCATCCTGAATGGCTTTTGCACATCTGGCTGCGCATTCATCTGCCTCCACAGAAGCAGGGATTCTGGTTTCACATTTTCCCTTAGTAGGGAATTTGTAATCAGATCTAGGGAAGCCAAAGCATGGCCAATTATCTACCCCAACATTTCCTTGTTGCAGAGGTCAACATGGATCTGTTCAGTTGGCCATTTTGCTGGAAACAAAAGAATAGGAGGAAGTAAGTTAATTTGAGGTTTTCTCCTTTTAACACTCAGATATTCACATGTACAGGTTAAATCATTTCCGAAGGAAAAAAAATTCATCTTGGTGAAATTGACACATTTCTGAAGAAGAAATTCTTGGTGAAATTGACGTATTTCTGAAAAAGAGATCCTCCTTGATGAAACTGGCACATTTTCTGAAGAAGAAATCCATCTTGGTGAAATTGACACATTTCTGAAATTCATTTTGGTGAAATTGACACATTTCTGAAATCCATCTTGGTGAAACTGACACAATTTTTCCTGACAGGAACTTTTTCTGGAGCTAGCAGGGAAACGGTGCAAAACAAATGCTTCGATAAAACCAGCACTTTTCCAGTTTGTACCAAATCCAGAAGAGACAAAACCTTAGCAGATCACCCTAATCTGGTTTGATACATCAGTTTGAAACATCTGATCATGACAGCCAAGAACAGCGGCCCATCACTCACCATTCAGAAGGCCGGTTTAAATAGAGTCGATCTGAATCCTTGATTTGGGAAAGATGCTTTTTGCAGTCAACAGCAGTTGAACCTTAATTGTTTCCACAAATCAGTTTTCTCACATTACTTGCTGTCTCCATGCAGCCTTAATCGCCAATCTGATCTGTGAACTCAGCAGTTAAAATGTGGCGGGGATTGGAGAGATGGCAAACACATGCATTTAGACAGGATATGTTGTCTTCTGTAGGTACAGAACAGAACAGAACAGAACAACAGAGTTGGAAGGGACCTTGGAGGTCTTCTAGTCCAATCCCTTGCTCAACTGGAGAGCCTATATCATTCTGGACAAATGGCTGTCCAATCTCTTCTTAAAAGCACCCAGTGATGGAGCACCCACAACTTCTGGAGGCAGGTTGTTCCACTGGTTAATTGTTCTCATTGCCAGGAAATTCCTCCTTAGTTCTAGGTTGCTTCTCTCCTTGATTAGTTTCCATCCGTTGCTTCCTATCCTGCCTTTGGTGCTTTGGAGAATAGGTTGACCCCTTCTTCTTTGTGGCAGACCCTCAAATATTGGAAAAGATGAGAAGCAAACTTGTGCAAGCTACCTTCCTGGTGGGAAGGGAGTGTTGCACCCATTTTAGACGTTAGTGATACTGTAGATAATGCATGCCGCTGCAGCAGCTGTAAACTGAGCTTAATGTGTTGCTTATTTTAATGGAATTTAGGCGTATGTTTTCTTTTTACCATTTTCCCAAGTGTAATGCCTCTGAGATAAAACAACTCTTATTTCTTGTAAACTAATAGGAGCAAAGAGATAAGCAGAGGGAACTGCAGCTATTAAGGAGATGAATCCTGAGCCTTAACAAATTGTGGTGGAAATTCCGAGACAATTCTGGGTTGGTTCAAAGGCGGCATCATTGATAGTCAAGGCAGCCTACTTTAAACCTGGATTATGGAAACGCCATTTGTCCTATTGATAGATTTCTCCTTTTTTTTGAGGTTGGGGGATTCAGAGCACAGAAGAACAGGAGCTGCGAGGTAGTCCAGGCAAGCACACAATTTCAGTCGTAGGTTGTGACGGTCGTGAAGCATCCAAAGGCGGTCATGTGACTGGGAGGCACAGCCTGGATGTCAGAACTGGGAATCCAGGTGGTCAGTCCCATTTTGGGGTGTCTGTCATAGCTTCAAACAACCAGTCATAAAAGGAGGACTATCTACAAACAAACAGCTCAACACCTTAGACGTCTGGCTCAAAAGAGATAATAATAATAATAATAATAATAATAATAATAATAATAATAATAA